TTCTGGGAGTTGAAGTCCACTCATCTTAAAGTGGCCAAGTTTGGACAACACTGGCTTACCTATACACACACCACACAGGGGCACGAGACAAGGAAAGAGGCCCATTAAGGAACTTGGAACAATTTCACTTCCGTGTATTGCCAATCTGGATCTGGACCTCCGCATGTGCAATTGTATGGTCCCCATCCCAGCCAAAGTCTCCATTGAAATGAACCATGCTGTATTTTGCAATACAAGCTGTAGGTGCAGAATCTGGTAAGGGGCAAGGAATTAAAGCTCCCCCATTCTACCCTAGGGTCCGAATCTGGTGCTGGCCATTTGTGAACAGGAAATGCTTTGCCCCTGGGAAGAACTGCCCAGCTAAGATAATTTGTAATTTGTCCCTAACATTCAGAAAGGGCCTGTGCAATTTATTTATTTATTTGCATGCTTGCTGCCTGGTACAAAAACAAGTAACGACCATAAAAATAGCAAATCCTCTCATTCTAAGTTCAGAAGCCAAATAGACTGACTGGCAGTTCTGCTTCTAGATAAGGGGACAGCCGAACACGCTTGATCAAAGCATATGCTCGTATGTTCTCTTTCTAAGTCTGTTTTTGTTTCTTAACCTCAGACAGTCCTCATTTAGCATCTTGGAGAGGCAACTGTATCTGGTGTGTAGGTGTCTATTTGTTTCCTAGTGAAATTGCATTTTCCTTCTGTTTATGCCAAGAATAACAGCTATCCCAAATTGATCATGGATAGCTTTTCATATTCACAGCGTTTTGGCTTGGCTGGCAACTTGGCTTCTTTCTTGAATCTGGAGCCGTGTTTCCCAAACTTGGCACCTTTAGATCATGTGGACTTCAATTCTCAGAATTCCCCAGTTGAAGTCCATACATCTTAAGGTTGCTGAGGTTGGTAAACACTGATCTGGAGCACCTTGCCCTTAGGAGGCTTCTCCACCTTTCGGTTGGCTTGTGTCTTTGTTGCAAAGTGGGCTCTGATGAACAGCCAGTCCCATCCTTTCCAGTCCTGTGATTCTTATTGTAATGGCTGCTGTCTGTGGAGAGCAGATATACTATGGGGCAGAAGCAGGGAATCAGGATGAAGTATCCTCCTTAAGTCTTGGAGAGAAAGAGATGAGGAATGCCTTATTGGCAAAAGGAATTGAGAATCTATGTGATCTTTTATTTTGTCTTGTTATAAATATCTATTTGTTTATTGCATTGCTTCCTCTGGAGGTCAGATAAAATATCTGGGGAACATCCCTTCATTTTATCCCAGTGAGGTATGTTGGACAGAGAGAAGGTGATCAGTAAGTTCCAAGGTTGAGTGGGGACTTGAACCTGGATCTTCTGTAGAGGGTGGAGGGAATGGCCTTGAAGGACAGGAGGAAGAGCCACTGCCAAGGCAATGGTCAGCTAAAAGAGCCCTGAGTCGGGCCAAGAATGTAACATGAGAAAACATCTCAAGCAAGCCTAGTTCAGATAAAGGGAAGGAGGGGGGAAGTGCATTCAGACTTGCAAGATTCTGTAACTGTAGCCTTATAATAAAAGTAGTACTGACCTACGTGGTTTTGGTTTCCTAGTCTGGTCTACCCTGAAGGGCTGAGATTTCCCTGCTCCAGATCCAGCCTCTTAACTACTGTGCTACACTGGCTCTTTATTAATGTCTTTCTATAGAATGGGCATTATCCTACACCAATCAGGACATGATCACAGCCATCATAGTCACAAGGAGGGGAGACCAAATACTAGTGTCCAAGCTGCGTTCATCCATGTAGTTGGAGATCTTCTGCAAAGCATCGGAGTCTTGGTGGCAGCCATCATAATCTACTTCAAGGTAAGAGCTCCAACAGAGAGAGATTTTCTCTCTCTCAATAATAGAATAGTCCCCAATGATTATACGAGACTGCCATGACAAATCTCTCATTATAATCCTGATTAGTGGGCCACAGACTTAAAGCAAGACATGGAAATATGTATAAAACCAATTAAGTCACTCATTCATTCTGTAGGAATACTGAAGAGTTTTGAGGCTAAGAGCAGAAGCAATTCAGCTACCAGAGACTTCCTACTTCATACCTACTTCCCATGACTTAATTTGAGGGAGTAGGGATGAGACAACTCCTTTGTAGGAAATTAGATATTTTGTTGTCAGATTTTGGCAATGTGGATTTTGGCTGCATATGGACTACAAGCTGCCTACCCCTGATTTAGCAAAAAGGCAGTGACCCCACTGTTCCTGTGCAGACCTCCTCTGTGGTAGAGTTGAACTGCTAATTCTAAAGTAGAAACTGGAAGCCTCTGGTTCTTCAGAAGTTAAGGAGGTTATGATTTCTATTCTTCATGGCTAAGCTGGTAGGGTGTGTTGGGAGGCGGAGCCCAACAACATCAGGAAGGCCATGGGCTCTTCTACTGTAGGGTAAGAGTGCTGCCATTACATATCAGCTATTTCTCACCGATGGGGTAAATACCAAGCAGATCATAGAAAGGGATTCAGCCCTTGAACAAAGAGAGGACTCATGGACTGTTTTCTTCTCTTTCTAGCCAGAATATAAATACGTGGATCCTATTTGTACCTTTGTGTTTTCCATCCTGGTCCTTGGAACAACGTTGAGCATCCTCCGAGATGTTGTCCTTGTGCTGATGGAAGGTCATTTCCTAGGGCAGGGGGTGGGATTGAGAGAGTTAAGTTGGGTTCTGAAGGCAGCAGGCCCAGGCTGACCTGTGTGATGGAGTAGGAATAATAATAATAACAACAACAACAACAACAACAGCGACAATGACACAGTATACCACCCAGAGGGAAGCTCCTTTAGTGCTTTCACAGTGCCAGTTGCAGTGGCAGGAATGCATCATGGATTGTTATAAGCCCAGGTCCCTCCCCACAGCTGGATGCTACACATCTGCATTGTGCATTGCTCCCAACCTTTGTCTTCCAACTGGAGGGATAGCAGCCTGCTCATCCCTTCTGCCACCCCACTGCAAGCTCCAGAAAGCAATTTACAAGCCACTCTGACAAAGATTAGCCCAGAAGGAAAGCAGACTGGATCTCCCTCCATATACACACAGATCTGAAATGGCTTGCTAAGCCAGTGGAAGAGCTGAGTTCTAGAGAAGGGAAGATATTATAAGTCAAAAAGGCACACAATCCATGTAAAATGCAAAGACGTTAATTTGATTTGTTGAGACTTTTAGCTCATCCCAGGAATTCCTGCTGGGCAATGCTATGCTATTGACTTTATCCTATCCTCTGTATTGCTGGGCCCTGAAAGTCAGTTTGAAGAAAAACTGCCTTATATAAATTAAAAACTCAGTTAAAGAAGGTCTCACCCAGCTTCTGCTCAGATGGGAAGACTCAGCTTTGGGACTCTCCAAGAAAAGAAGATAAGATAATTTCACAGTTGAGACAGACTCCAAAAGCAGTATTTTATTATTTAAGTAATTGAGTCACCCAAGAAAGGAAATAAAAGGGGTAACAGAAATCTGAAACCAAGTGATCCTTGGCATCCTGTTGTTTTGACCCATTTCTGCTATCTTTTCCATATTGTTGCATAGGTACCCCAAAAACTGTAGATTTCAATGATGTGAAGACCATCTTGCTCTCCATAACTGGAGTGAAATCTCTTCATAGCCTTCACATTTGGGCTCTAACTGTGTCCCAGCCGGTGCTGTCAGTCCATATTGCAATCAGTAAGTTACATCGTTATGAGGCAAGTTTAGAACTTGCACCATTTGATAATTTGATAATGTCTTTATTTTAATAATCACTTTTTATCTTTTTATAATGCTTGTTTTTATCCACTTGTTATTTTATTTAATTGTACACCGCCCAGAGTCACTTTGTGTGAGACGGCAGCTATATAAATGTGACATATAAATAATGAAGAAATAAATTATGGAACAAGGTTAATGGATGCATCCACAATAACTATAGTGGACTGTGTTCTTCCAGTTTTCGGAGAATGGGATAGGCTGGTGCTTAAAACATGAAAAATAAGGCACCTGTATGGGAGTGGCAACATCTGGCTGATTTGTCTGGGTTTGGAAGCTAAGCAGGGTTGGGTCTAGCTAGTAATTGGATGGGAGATGGCCATAAACTGCCTGCATTAATTTTTTTTTCTGATAGTCCCAATGATACCTTAAAGCATGCAGATATGATAAGGGAGGGTTTTTCTAGTTGCAGAAGATGTTTTTTTTATCCCACCTGGTTAAACTTATTAACTACTGCAACAAGGACATAATGATTGTTCACTACCCAGTTCTGGGACCCTAGATAATTTAATGAAATAATTATTTTATAGCCTCTTCCCAGTACTGTAAGTGAAATTGAATAAAGTTAAAAAGGAAAAGGAAAATGATTGGAGTCTTCCAAGGAGCAACAGGCTGTACTGGGAATTTAGAAAAAAACCTTGGAACAAACATCTATGTTGTTGCCGAGAAAACTCCATAAATATTTCTCTAAAGCAGGGTTTCTCAACCTTGGCGACTTTAAGTTGCGTGGACTTCAATTCCCAGAATTCTCCATGCTGGCTGGAGAATTCTGGGACTTGAAGTCCACACATCTTAAAGTCGCCAAGGTTGAGAAACACTGATCTAAAGTCACCAGGAATAAAGCTTAACTTGAAGAAGACTTTCCTGATGGACTGATGGAAGATCTACCAGTCTGAATCCAGTAGGACTGTGCACACTCTAAATATTATTCACGTGAGTGCAACACCACACTGCTATTCATTAAAATAGCCCCACTTTTTCAGGCTTCTTCCCAAGGCTGGAAAAACAGTGTCACTGCTCACTGCTGTGAAGGCAACTTTCACACCATCTTTCTTATGCAGAAACCTGAAAAAAAAAGTAGTGTGGCTGTTAAGAATAGTAGAGAAGTGCTATGCTTGCATTTGCACGAGACCTAAGGCATTTTTTCCAAATACTTCAGACTAAGTCTGTACCATCCTTGCCCACCATTTGCGTGCTGGCCTTTGAGAGGGGTGGAAACTTTGATTTTCTCACCATATTTGTACCTCGCCCTTTGCTTTACTCTGTCCTTTCTGTCCCAGATAAAGATGCTGATGCCCAGACTGTCCTGAAGGAAGCGAGCTGCCGACTGCAAACAGCTTTCAGTTTCCATACAACAACAATCCAGATAGAGAACTATTCGGAGGACATGAAGGATTGCCAAAAATGCCAGAGCCCCTTAGACTGATTCACTGAGGATTGTTGCTAAGTAACCTGGAGACGGATGTTCAGCCCTGTCAAAGCTGCTACCTCAGAGTATCCTGACTTACAAACTCCTTTGGGCCAAATCCTTCTTCTGGAGTCATCTGACTGAAAGTGCAATCCTTAGTTTGTATGAGATGAAGCAAAGAACCTTCTTTCTCT